GGGGGAGGGGGGGGGAGAAGAGAGACAAATCTTTGTGTCCTCAGTCCAACATGATTACAGCGCTGATACCACTGTATCGTGCAAGACACAGGGAATAAAGGTTAGCTAAACAGATAGCAGACCATTTCACAGAAAGATGATGATAGGTCCTCAATTAAACTTTAATAGTAAGATAATTTCAAAATCTTCGTGTTCATGCACTATTGTAGAACCCTGGCAAGTAGAACATTTCCAGTCCAGACAGAAATGTGTCTGGAGCAGAAGGAGATCTAGATCTCATCAGTACAGGTAATACCAGACAATTTTGTCCCTACAGACTACCCAAGCTGTAGGGAATAGTCAAGAGCCAGGGTCAGATTTTGAAGACCCTGACAGAATTCGGGGGACCTGAAGGACATCCCAATATCACAGTATAGAAGACAGATGAGCGAGATTCCCAAAACCTATGAAGAAAGGAAATATTCCAGAAATCCTTCAGTGCAATGCAAGGCACAGAAACCAGACAGAGTAGCATATTGTGTAGAATTTGGAAAGGAAGTTCAGACAGCTATTGTCAGCAGTACCTCCCATTAGCTTCTCAATTCTCTGGAACAAGACTCACAGTAAATGGTGATTTGACACTGGATTTTTAAGATTCGGGTAAAAACACCCATGCTGGTACACTGTATAATTGTTAGTGTCCAACTAAAAATATTCTTCATCTAAGATGCCTGTTGAAATACTTGATAAACTAGAGAGACTCACATATCCTCAGAATCAGAGGGTCCTTCTTTGGCTTGCTCATCTTCCGTATCCTCTGTTTCAAGATTATGCTGATGCCGCACATCTGCTATGCTGGGAACATCCACTAAAGTTCTGTACAGTTTGTAAAGATCCGGGAGCGAACATGTTCTCAACATCTGCAAAGGTAATAGAGAGCCTGTTTGGTAACAATACTAAAGACAGTCTGAGGTTACAAAATACTTTAAAACAAGATTTTTTTGGTCCTTTTTCATCTGAGGGTCAATTTCAAAATAGGGATGTGCCCAGCACAGATACTCTAACTGTTGAAAATCTGACATCTTGAATTTTGCCTCTCAGCTGAAAGGTAAGCATTCCTTCTGTCTTTACAGGTTACAGTGATTGAAAACGTTTAAGAACATCAGCTGACACGCAGATCCTGGGTTTGTGCAGATTTGTTAATTACCTTGATGGCTATCTAATGAAAAAGAATGTCGCCGTACATAAAAAAAAAACACATATATATATGCAATTGTCTACAAAGCACATATGTCAATCACTTACAGCTTAGAACGATTTTAAGTAAGTGACAAAAGAGTACTTTTAAAAATGGTATTTTATTATTTCTCTAGGTTGGTCACTGAAAACAGTAACTTTTGTTTATGGTATATTTCAAGGCAGTTCCACAGTATTAGAAAAGTTCATTACAAAAAGTATTAGAAAGCTAAATTCAAATTACAACAGTGATTTGTTGCAATGGAAATAAAGCAACACGGAAACAAATTAACTATCTGCTCAGTGATTTACCAGATCTCTCTTCTAAAAAGTCTAAGAACCCCCTAAAATTACTAAATATTCACCATAGTATTAATAAAACAAGAAATCACCATAGTATTAATAAAACAAGAAATGAGACCTAATTGCATGAAGAAGTTTTACCATTCTTCCTTATCTGGCATTCCAACACCTAGGAAATCTGTTACTACACATTGACTGAATGGAACGCAGGTGTGAATGTTTCCAGAGAACCCTTTGCCACCATTGTTTCTCCAAAAAGCAGCTGCTCTTTTATGAACTTTCCACTTTAGAAGCCAGGTAAGTATTGCATGTAATTCGAGAAGTCCGTTTCAGCTACTAGTTCCATAACTATTGTTAAAATAGTTTTAAGTTCTATCAAAACCACATTCCACCACCCTGGGCTCATTTCACAGACTGTGGCTGGTCAGGAAACACCTTCAAGAAAGCAGCTAGTTCTATTCACACTTCTTCAGTCTTCTCGCTTCACAGCCAGAACCTGTGCCAGCTGGTGAAATCCTACAGGGAACCACCCAATAACTTGGTTGCCAGAAATGACAAGATACCTTTGCTGATCTGTTCAATCTTTATGCTTATGATGGCAAGGTAGTGAAATAAGTCTGAAAAATTGCACAAAAGGGAGAAAGAAGATAGGGGAGGTTAGGAATTTCCTCATGAACTCGCTCAGTTATGTCTCAGAGAAGTGGTGGCCTTCCTCCACAAACATCTAGACACAGAATGCTGGATGGGGAAACCAGAGACTGTCACTGCTGCAGGAGCCCTGCTGATACAACGAGCACAGTGCAGTCATACCGCAGGGCAGACACGGCTAGACAAATACAAACACCTGCTGAAACAGTTATGCCATCTGTTCTGGCCTTACTCAGCCTCAATAAAAAAATAAGAATAACATCACTACAGAAAAACAAATATTCTTTTTTATTTTTTAAACTTGCCTTTGGGTCGTTTGCATCAAAAAGCCCTGTAGAAAGTCCAATCAGCAATGAACTTTTGCCTTTATTTTTTGCTGGTGATATGGAACGTGAGCGAGGTACAAAAGGTTCTTCCTGTGAAGACTGAGCTGACAGAACTGGTGAGGCTGCTGGTACAGCTGTGGGATGTATTACCCTCTGAAATAAGGGTTCAGGTTGCGGAGAGTCACTGGAACAAGTTTCTGATGTGGTAAAAGAAAGTCCATTACAAATCTAAATAGATTTAAACCCTCAAGTTCTTAAGCAAAAGGTAACTAAAGTGAATAAAACTAACTCCTTCCTGTTCTACTTAAAGGGGAAAATAGAATACACTGTAAAAGTATTAAGATCTTTTTGGATTATTTTAGTAAGTATATTATAATGTGAAATTCTCCCACTTTAACTTTTTAATAATATACAGCCCTGAGCTATAGCCTGTTCTGTTCTCATGCCTTCTAGTTTCTCATTACACAGCCCACGCCTGAAATTATGATGTAATCCATTTTTATCTGTTGCTTCTTGCCCTGTACTAGATTTCTTCAAAGCTACCTCAACATAATTCACCTGAACACTGGGAAAAAAGCCCCAGTTTGTTTAAGCCACCCACAAATAGATGCAACAGTATCGCCAATGATACTTGACAGCATTGCCGATGTGCTTTCCATTCTGCTGTAAAATATGCAGACCTTCTGAAGTTAACTTCAAAGACCTACAAGAGCAAGCACTTCTTCTATGCAACAAAGATAAAAGATTATCATTAGCAGCTGCTTAAAACACTTTTTATCCCAGCTGCAATCAATATTAATTTGACATGTCTATAAACAAAGCAACACTTGTATTAAGTAAAATCATCAGACTTCATAACATTTTAAATAGTCATTTTAAAAGGCTGCAACGTTCAGAAATTTGACATTCACTTTTCAGTATGGGCCACTGCCTTGTTTGTCTATACATAGTGTAGCTTTGTTGTTACATGTTTTCTTCCAAAGTGGCAAAATTAACACCCACAATTTGTCTTCCTAATCTATCAGAAACTTGCTTTTTAGAAATATGAACTAAAAAAGAAAATGAAAACAAAAATCTGCTCTTTTGGGGTTAGTGAAGAAGTGAGAAGGGATGGCTCAAGCACTCCATACTCCCAGCTACAATAAACAAACCAAGAGACTTCCACTGACCTTCTGGAGCTTCCTTTTGTGGTTGCACCTTGTCAAGCACTAGTTTCTCACCAGCTGCCTCGCTTCTTCCATCATGTTGTGCCCTATTATAAAATACCACATCCAGGGGAAACACCACGTAAAAAATAGTCATTAGTCTACTGAAAAAGTCACCAAGTGCAGTAAACTAACATGGCAGACAAGCAACGAATCTTTAGCTAAGTTTAACATTTTAACTGATGCATCTAAATCCTATTCAGTTAAAGCTAGTTGTGTGAACTGGAGAGAGAGGGTTAAGCAGAAGAGAGTACTTACTTATCCTCTTTCTCTTTTACCCACACTTCATTAACAGTGATGGGAAATTCCTTCCTCTCCTTATTCTGGTGCTTTTTATCTTCTTTTGTTTCTTCCAATGTCTCGGTTTCCAAATCATCAGGCTCTAAAACTGGTAATGTCATATACCTCATTAAAAATGAATCCCAAGCAAACAAAAAGACAGGAAAGACTATACATTTAAGATTACACTTAAATCCTTCAGCTTTAATAATTTTTCTGCATTTTGCAGAAACAACTGAAGTTTTGTAGCCTCAGAGATAAAAGTTTGTTTCTGATACAAGAAAAGTATCTTAAAGCTCCAGTGAACTGTCTTCTAAAAGCCTCAGTAGCATTCCCCCAGATGTCAGCAAGGTGCTGGTATCATACAAGGGAAAACATTCCAGCACAATCAGTGGGAAGAAACAAACAAAAAAAACCCAACAACAACATCAAAAAATCTGAAGCACTTTAGAATTCCACTTGTATTCTAGAGAGTTTTCTATAAGCACAGAAAAAGCGTTTCTGGAAATTTACAAAATACATTAGTGAATCAAATTACAACTAGAATTACTAATGAAATGACTTACCATCCAGCATAAGAGGTTTGCTCTGCACCTGGGTAGGTCCAGCTCTTTGACATTCTTCTGGTGTAGTCACGTCAGACTCTGTGACACCAGCTGGTACTGAAGACTGAGCTCCGACAGCAGAAGCTTTCTCTTCCTTCTCCTCTTTCACGGTTAAGGACTGATGATCTTCTTCAAGAAGTTCTGTGGTACCTAACACAAAATTATTCTATTATTTAAACAATGCTTTGACACAATTTGATAATAAACTATAATGTGACTACAAGCTAAGTTGAGAATATTTGTCTCTTTAAAGAAAAATTGAATAGAAAAGCTTGCATGCTTTTATTATAACTACTATGAAGAGGAAAGCTAGAAATATTAAAATTTGTATTTTATTTGCTACATTATCATTAGTACAAGTTTATACTTGGAATAAACATAAGTCCTTTTGTCCTTGGAAAGGACAAAAAGCAGGAGTTGGCCAGAAAAAAAAATCCACTGATATGGTAAGTCACCTGCTAACATGAAGGTTATAGGACCTGTCTAATCCAATATTCAGTTGATGACATCCTTTTAAAGACGACTTGTTTCTATCAGTAAGCAAAATCCAAGACTTTTCAACAAAATTAAGATCGTGCCCTTTCAGCACATCCTGCTTAATTTCTTACCGCTTCACCGAGTTTGAAATATTTTGGTGTCTTCCAGCATCAGCTTGTGCTAACACTTAGAACTGAGGCAACACCCAGCAGTAGAAAGCAAGAGTGACGATGGAATACACATTTATGAATTCAAAACTGTTCTCAGTAGACAAACCGGCAATCTGGCACTTCCTACACTTGCAGGGCAGATAATTACCAGCTGTGCTTACCACTTATCGCATCCAGTTCCTCGAGTAAGTCCGTTTGTAGCTGCAACTCTGCTTCTCCTAGGATCTTCAGGACTGAATCAGTAGGGCTTTTGCCCCAGACTTTCCTGTGGGGTTCACCAATATCTAACTTAAGGACTTCCCCCAGAGTTTGACCTGCTGGGACACAAACACAAATACAGAAACTTTTAGAAATTAGAAACTTTTATTCACCTTCTAGACAATACACAAACACCCTCCACAAAACTAAAAAATATAAAGCCAGAACTCATGTGACCTAACCCCAAGTCAGACAGCCTACAGACTGTGCTCCAAGTCTAAAGTTTTTCTTCTGCCAATTCCATTTAATAACAGGAGTTATTAGATGCCAGTTAACATCCGCAACTTAACAGCAGCAGATATTTTCAGCAAGGCACTCCAAAAGAAAACAGTATGAGAAATGTTTATAACTGGCATGAGATGGTCTTAACTTTATCTGAAACGGGAAACTACAGAGTCTCTTGTCCTGCTGTCCTGTCACATTTTTTTCTGTTATTCCTCCCTCCAAAGAAAACAGAGGATATAAAGCCAGAAAGAACACAGCAAAAGGAGTTGTTTCTTGATCTTATAAGTCATAGAATCATAGAATGGTTTGGGTTGGAAGGGACCTTAAAGATCATCGAGTCCCAACCTCCCTGACATGGGCAGGGACACCTTCCACTGGACCGGGTTGCTCAAACACTGCCAGGGAGGGGGCAGCCACAGCTTCTCTGGGAAACCTGTGCCAGGGCCTCACCACCCTCACAGTAAAGAATTGCTTCGTAATTTCTAATCTAAATCTACCCTCTTTCAGATCGAAGCCATTACCCCTTGTCCTATCACTCCATGCCCTTCTAAAAAGTCCCTCTCCAGCTTTCCTGTAGGCCCCGCTTCAGGTACTGGAAGGCTGCTGTAAGGTCTCCCCGCAGCCTTCTCTTCTCCAGGCTGAGCAAACCCAGTTCTCTCAGCCTGTCCTCGTAGGAGAGGTGCTCCAGCCCTCTGATCATCTTTGTGGCCTCCTCTGGCCCCACTCCAACAGGTCCATGTCTGTCCTGTGCTGAGGGCTCCAGAGCTAGATGCAGGACTCCAGGTGTGGTCTCACCAGAGCAGAGCAGAGGGCCAAAATCTCCTCCCTCGACCTGCTGGTCATGCTGCTGGGGATGCAGCCCAGGATACAGTTGGCCTTCTGAGCTGCAAGTGCACATTGTTGGCTGACGTTCAGCTTCTCATCCACCAGCACCCTCAAGTCCTTGTCCTCAGGGCTGCTCTCAATCCATTCTCCGTCCAGCCTGTATTTGTGCTTGGGATTGCTCTAACCCATGTGCAGGACCTTGATGAACTTCATGAGGTTCACAAGGGCCCACCTCTCAAGCCTGTCCAGGTCCCTCTGGATGGCATCCCTTCCTTCAGACACGTTGACCATACCACACAGCTTAGTGTCATCGGCAAACTTGCTGAGGGTGCACTCAATCCCACCATCCATGCTGTCGACAAAGATGTTCAACAGCACTGATCCCAGTACTGACCCGTGAGGAACACCACTCGTCCAGGTGGAGACCAGTGACATCGGAGCCATTGACTGCAACTCTTTGAGTGCAACCATCCAGCCAATTCCTTATCCACTTGGAGGTCCATCCATCAAATCCGTGTCTCTCCAATGTAGAGCCAAGGATGTCATGTGTCATGATGCTTAGTGCTCAGGTCCAGGTAGATGCCGTCAGTTGTTGCTCTTCCTTCATCCACCAATGCTGTAACCCCGTCGCAGAAGACCACCAAATTTGTCAGGCATGATTTGCCCTTAGTGAAGCCATGCTGACTGTCACCAATCACCTTATTTTCCCTGTGCCTCAGCATAGTTTCCAGGTGGATCTGCTCCATGATCTTGCCAGTCACAGAGGTGAGACTGACTGGCCTGTAGTTCCCCGAGTCTTCCTTTTTTCCCTTTTTAAGAACGGGGGTTATGCTTCCCCTTTTCCACTCACTGGCAACTTCACCGGACTGCCACGACTTCTCAGATAAGATGGACAGCATCTTAGCAACTTCATCCGCCAGTTCCCTCAGGACCTGTGGATGCACCTCATGAGGTCCCACAGACTTGTGCACCTTCAGATTCCTTAGATGGTCTCAAATCTGATCTTCTCCTACACTGGGTAGTTCTTCATGCTCCCAGTTCTGGCCTTGGCTCTTGTAACATCCTAGCCGTGTAAAACTACTATGCTATGAAGTAAGTCTATCACATTGTCAACGATTATTTATTTCTACAATGTGAAACAGATCCTTAATAAGACACACTGAAATCAGGTAAAAGGTCTTCCACCCAAAACACCAAAGAAGGCAGATGAAAAATTTGAAAAGACAGGCTTGATTTAAATAAAGAGAAAAGTTAAGGAGGGTGCAATAAAAGTAACAGATATAAATTGAGAAAACCCTTAGTTTTTATTGTTCTACCAATAACATAAAAGGATTTTGAAGTTAAATCAGGAACTTTCATATATCTTAAATGCTTTTTATTCTTTCTCTTAAATTAGTACCTATTTAAAAGACACTTACAAATCAAGCTCAAAGAAAGTAACCATGTATTTAATTAGGTAACTATTTGTTGACATTAGGAAAATATTTGTTGACTCTCCTGCAGGCCACTTAATTACTCAACCTGTGCCTTATTCCTTATCCAAGGGAGTACATAACCACCTGCCTTTTAGAAGCAGATGACACACAACTCATAACAAGATAATAATAATAAAGAATACTTGCTTTATAAAAACAGACACTACACACAGTAAACTGATTTACTAATATCATGGTGACAAAAAAAGTACTTACGGTCTGTTCCAGAGAGAGAATCTTCCATTGACAACTGAGCTAGAGGAACTACCAACTCAGATGCCCCAGATTCCCACTTTTTGCGATCTCCTAGAACTGGATGGTCATTTTCTTGTTGTTCCTTACCACCTTCAGAGCCAGCGGATTCAGAGATATTTTTACACTCCTTTTGTCCTTTCTCATCTTCTCGAGCTTTAAGATTTTGATTTAATCTTCTCAGTATTTCTCGTTTATTCTGAAATGAGGGCCAACATATATCATTTAAAACAGTACCTTTCTTAAAAGGAAAAGAAAACTAAGTGAAACTGAATACAATTGGACATACTTGTATTGCAACATCTGGCTTTTTTATTTCCTCCTCAGCTTCCTGGATTGCAGTTACATTTTCATCCTTTATGTTCCAGAAGCATGAAATACAGTGTAGAAGAATATGTCAAAAAAAAAAAAAAAATCTTGAGAATATTAACAGATATAACAGTGAAAAATCACCTCTAAAACCTTTTCACTGATTACTGCAGAGAGACTGAGACAGAATGTATGATACTTCTGTTTTTATGGGGCTTTCCAAAGACAGAAGTTCAAGGGCAATTTCCATCTTTGAACCATTCACTATCTCGAAGTGGTGAGTAAGTGAACCAGGCTCAGTTTAAGCAGACAAGTGAAAGTTCAGAGCATGAAACATGCAGAGATAAAGCTAGATATGACCTCTACAGCAAAATGCCACCAAATTCCAATGCTAGAAACAAGTCATTCTACAAGAGAACAAAAAAATTGGCAAGGACAGAGTCAAGGAGCATCTGTAAAGAAAAGCAGAAGGAAGAAGAGACAATTTTAGTGACATGTAAAATAATCAAACTAAAAACTGAAGACAAAAATGTAGAACTGTCTTCTCCAATTGCTCTGTGTGCTAATTTTTAGTCAGTTATAACCACCATCTTGCATTACTGTAAGACAAACTATTCACGTTGGAAAAACGTGCTAATGAGTTAAGTATTTGTCAAACCATGATTTGTTTATTTTTCCAGGTATTAATGAACATCTTTCAGTGTATTACATTTTATACACCCTATTTAGCACTATGTTTCACTATACGCCCATAGTCACAGCCTTCAAGGTTGTACACAATATATAATCCCACACTACACTGAAATCTAGAAATAGTTTAGATAAAACCGCATTCAAATTAACACAGATAGTGTAAAAAACTCAAATTGTACAACCATTCACTCGTATGCTCAGTTTCACAACTGTTACTTAAATGAAACGGTGATAGTTGAGGTAAACGTGTAAGCATTTACGATACCAGGACCCAAGATCACAGGAAATAGAAACTGGGAAACTTCTAATACTGTGTTAGACAACAAGTAGAGAAAATATTATCAGATTCAAGTCTCTTAAACTTTATATTCTGTTATATTTGGCACATACTTTAAAACTTACTGAAAACAAGAATTAATATAAAATAGTCCTATCATTCGAAATTTATTTTCTCACTTCCACCAGGTTACAAACTGCTTAACACCCCTCTTCAAGAGGCTGATGAAAATGCTGGTTAATTGTCTTCTTCCACTAATCATGACTGCCTTGATCAAAACTGCAATTGCAGCCCAGAGCTCATCACAAGCCATTTTGTTCGAAACTGAATTTGAGTTTCAGTTTACAGGTGTATTTCAACAGCTTCCAAGTTCTTGTTTCTTTTTACATTTTTTTTTCTTTTTTCTTTTCCTAATTAGAAGCAACAAGTATCCTTAATGATTTCTTTTTCTACCTAATCTACACATTCTTCTTAAAATTCTTTTTCAAATAAACCCTCTTAGCAAAAGTACCTACCACACCCACTTCCTTCAAAGCAGAAGTCATGGAGATGACTGGTGAACCAAGCTTCACTGGAAGTTGTGGCTTAGAAAGAGCTGCTCCAAGCTCTTGTAGTCCATGCACAGGACTGTGTTCTGTAGCTCCCACATTAAAAGGCACATTTGGATTCTTTACCCCTTTTGCTATCAACTGTACAAATTCAATTAAAAAAATTAGATCAAGAAATTAACTTCAAGACTTTGCACATTAAACATTATCAAACAGACTCATGTAAACCTTAGAAAAGGACAACAATGCCACACATTTCATACAAAAGACAACTGCCAGCTGTACATGTGAACTATTTCCAGTTTACCAGCTTCACAACATCCTGGGTTTTGTAGCAATGTATTACTAGTTGGATTTGTCACTCCACAGCACACAGACACAAAAGAAGATTAAGTGCATTTTCGTAAGTTACAGATCATTAATAAAATACTTCAGGTGATCCTAATGATTCTTAGGGTCAATTCTTGAACCAAATTCTTCATTCAAGTATACCTAAGATTAGGGTTCTAATGAGGAAATTCTGACTGACATGTTCTCCTCAGTTTCAGAAAACAAACTAATTGTTTAAGCTTGAAAAATCACAGTATGCGATTATAGTTGTACAAAGATATGGCACTACATACTTTGACTGCAGGGAACAGATTTATTTTCTTACATGTTCTTCCCAGGCTCTTTTCTCTCTTTCATATGCTTCCTTTCTCTTCCGCTCTAACTGTTCTTTCAGAACTGCAGCTCGAGCATTTGCTTGGGCCTATAGTGAACAAATAGGCAAAAAAAGACCAACTTAAAATCATAAAAAGCATTAGTACCCCATTCCATGGAACATTTTAAAAAGAAACATTCATGGATTACTTTCTCTTCCTTTCTCTCACTTATTACTGTATAGACTGTGAAGGGAAAACTCCACTGACAATCAAAATCATCACACAGGTATAAGAACCGATCTTCTATGCTGAAAAATAATGGCAACTCCTCAAAATTTAATTACAGTTCTTGATTTGCATGGTTTTATCTTTAGTGTACATAGTAATCTTAAACAGAGTAAGCAAAATTAGAATATCTACTTTAAATTAGTTTTGAAGCCAAATGCATTAATCACAAAAAATTAAATATTGTTTAAACTTTACATACGTACTAAACATAAACACAAAAAGCTTCAGTTGCTGTTTCACCCGGTAGTTTTAAGGTTAGGCATAAGGTTAGCTTGTTTTTACATTGCTCTTTGCAGATGATGGGGAGGGCGGAAATCACAGAATAGAGAGTAATACTTGCTATGTATCGTATGGTAGAGATAGTTATTGACATAAGAACACCACATGGAATAAAGTTCCAATCAAACATTGGATTTCTGTGAAACACATTTGCTTTAAATATACTTCATCACAGGGGTGTACAGCTCACCTTTCAATCCACATGTAGCCGGTGCCAGCACACGTAAGGAGTTTTGCCTTTACTCTTTTAACTAACAAAGTTGTTGTTATTTAGAGTACATCTTCCTTTCCCTTTCAGTATCAAAATGCTATTTTAGTTATATCAAATTGCCTTTAGGACTAATGCTAACCTAGAGAAAAATCTCAAAGGCAGGCACGGGAAAAATCTTGACTTGCCATGCTATGTCACAACGTATTTTAAAATTACTGAGATAAAACAGTTGAACAGCATTGTTACCTCAGTACAGTCAAAAAAAAACCCCTCTTGTAGCAGATGTATGAACAAACTATTGATAGCAAAATGAAATATAAGAAACTTCCCGAGATACGAAACAAATCTGAGAACAGTAAGTTCCATCCCCTCCCTCCCAACAATTACCTTCTGCACTTCTATCTTTTTGCGTTTCAGTTCTGCTTCCTCGCTTGATTCTTGTCCATCAGAACCGGCAGCTTCATTCTGCAAATTTAAGAGTCCTCAAAGAATTATCATGAATTCATGTATTTAAAAGCTGAGTGATATTAGTGACTAGTTGGATCATTTAGACTGACTTTATGACTACCACGGGTCGCAATTTCACTAGGTAACTCCTCACTTGAAAGTAATGTTTAACTTGGACAGAACTTCATCCTTGAGACTGTGAGGGTTTTTTGTTTATTTGTTTAGGTTTGTGATTTTTTTTTGTGTGTGTGTGTTCGAAGATATAAAGCTTTTACAAGCCAGGAAGAAAGTAACAGGCCTACTGTTGCAAGGGAAGTGACCTAACGATGCTGGGCGCTCACCTGCCACCCCTCATCACTGTTGCATGCTTTGCAGGTAAGTTATACAAGAAAGGTTTGGGATTCCAGTTTCTTCCACTGTATGTGCTCCAAGGAAGGTGGAATGGGTTAGGGGAGAAATGGTATCAAGTAAGAATATGTAAGGTCTACCTCTGAAATCTCTGTTTTCAATCTCTCTTACTTTTTTCCATGGCCTCTGCATATTCCTATTTACAGAAGAGACTGACAGAGTTACCCAAAAAAAGTTCTGACAGGACCCTTTTATTGCTCCTGACCAACTTGTGCAGACCTTTCATTTAAAAGAAACTATTAGCAGGCCTATTTAGTAGGCTTCTTGCATTAATAGAAATAATTTGGCAAAACACAATCAAGAATTTTAGGTAATTTTAAAGTGAAAATAAAAAAAAAAAATGTCATGCCCACCTTGGCTTTAGTCAGCTAACTGAGGAAAAACATGACTGGAAAGAACACTAGAGACAGAAAAACTTCAGCAAAATAATTTATTTTTTTCATAGGCAAAGGAATCAGTATGTATATTCATCCATTGTATATAAAATACGATACTATGCAGTAGCAACATATATAAAATTGTTAATCAACACAAGGAAATAAACATATCTATGACCAGATTTGGTCTGAAACGGTGTTCCTCTGGAAGTGAGGCTCCATGCTAATGTTTGCATCCACAGGTCATGAAGCAGAAAAAAAAAACCAAAACCAACTCTCAAACTTGCTCACTGAATTCTGAAAATTACGTTAGGCCTACTTCCTGGAAAGATATTAATCTGTTCTCTGTTCCTTTGTAGGTGGCATACCTTCCGAGACACACAGCACTACCCCAGGTAAGGTACACCCACTGGGAAAGGAAGTTAGGTTCCTCATAGGCCTAATAACACATGCAGATAATTAATGTCATGGACACAGCAACAGTGATTTTGTCTGACTTCACTAGCACAAGTAGCCTTGGCCTCCAGAGGAAAGGATTCTGGAGAGTACCTTTACGTCTGAAGTTAACCATACTGCAGATAGAGTGTGGGTGCTCCTAATTGTGAGAGGAAGTGTTGCATCTGCTCAGTAAAAAAAAAAAACAAGAAAAGAAAGGAACACTGCAATACAGTGATGGCTCTATACTGGTAACATTTTAGCACTGTCCTCAGTATTCTAAGGATACTCAGAAGACATAGTAAGATTTTGTAGGGCTGTGTATGGAGATGACTAATCTCTGCAGCAGTTTTGAAGCTTGTCCAAAACAGCAGAGAGTGAGTTATGAGTGAAATTAGCACCAAATGCATTTAAGACAGCATGGTCTTATGGAGCGACAGCTTAGCATTTTATGTGAGCCAGCACTAGTGATAAACTTCACTGACCAGCCTACAGTAACTTTATAGACTCACACGACCTTGATTTTCCTCCTGCTCCTTAAGACAAACTTAGGAGAACAGCCCACGTCGGTCCCATGCCAGACTTAGCCACTAGCACGTCTTATCAAGTTTGGATAGTTTTCTCAGGTAAAAATGTACATAACTCTTGCCCTGGATCACTCATTTTAGATTCAAAGGGGCATGGGTTCCTCTTCAATGCACTGAAGTTTTGCACCTCAATCAAGGGATTGAATTTGGCTCTCTTGCACCTCAACAGTGAGATGCAATCAAGGTTACAGAAAATAAAGAAAACAATCCAAAAGAAGTCACCAATACAGGAAAAAAGTAGCATATTTTAGCATTAAAGAAAACTCCAAAGCCTACAGCAATATGGAACTCTGTTTAGCTGGGATGGTGGGCCAAAGGAACTGAGTGGTAATGGGCATGCTCTTGCCTTGTATGTGTACTCGCTACACGTTAGAAGCATTAAGCGCCCATGTTAAGGGCTTTCAAGTCAGGAACTACTTTCTCTAGTTTTAAATCACAAAGTACAATGTAAATATATAAGCAGGTAATCACTTGAGGAAACCCAAACACTCTGTTATGGTAAATAGACAGGAAGGGGAAGAACAGACAGGAGTACAAGGTCACACAGTAGGTTAACGAAAAGGCAGAAAAACTCCAGACCATATTCACTATATAGATGGCCTCTCAAATGAAACTTTTTTTTTAAACAAGTAAATGGATGCTTCCAAGGGTGCCTCGGATTATTCATTTGACACTGTTCTGACTCTATGAGCATACTATTTTGTTTCTGTTGTATCACAAACATATTTTAGAAAAGTGATGTTTGAAAAAAAAGGGTATCGATTCAATTGAGCTCATGCCAGGAATTTCTAACTTTAATACAAACGTACAGAACGTATTAAAAGAATTGCTTCATATGTATTTTGTGTTAGCATTGTCAAAAAGTGAATTCTGGAGAAGTTCCTATAATGAAAATCAAATATACATAAACATGCTAGTGCTTGATAAGTAATTTACATGTCAAATTCAGATGTAACCTTATGTTGTCTTGTTTTTAAAACATTGTTGGTTTGCAGGCACTGAAGCTGCATTCCCAGCACTGAAGTAACAAACAGATTTTGCATATTGTGGAAGAAGAGATGGAAGTACACTAACTCTGGAACAGAATTAAATGTCAAAAACATGTCTATGAGAAAAGTCTTCCTGCAGGGATAAAAGAATACATCCCACAGCAAACTTCCATAAGTATTTAAGATTATTTTTCAAACCAACCTTCTCTCCACGAAGTTTTGCTCTAATCTGTTGACGTTCGTTGAAGTTTTGTAGCCGGATCTGTCTTAATCTTGCCAAATATTCCTATGGCAAAGAAAGGAAATAAGTTTCAGTTATACTGAAACTGTCTCCGGTATGGTGAACTTAAAATACAGAAGATTCCACAAAAAAATAAGATGGGTGGGAAAAAACCCCAAACCCCACACTACTACTATCACTGTATTAGCATTTACTAGTCTCCAGAAAAACTCTCATCTAATGAAAATAAAGAAAACTGGAACGTATGCTTCCCAGTATTAAGGTATCCTTAAATTCTATATCATTGAAGGCTACAAATGGTTATATTTATCACAACACAATTAAGATATACAGAGTCCTATCTATATATATGCACATTCATGAACCTCTCTGAGACAGACTGATGTAGACAACTATTATTTTGATTATTTAAAAAACAACAACACACACACCCAAACTCTAGAACTTTATACAATAAATTATTTCCTAGGAATTTATGAAGTCCTTTTATTTTGTTACACAGATGAACCATGCAAGAAAACTAGGCACAGCTAAAATAATGATATTTGTGTGATGAGCAAAGTGGTAAACATGCAGCAAGCATACCTCTTCCTCCTTGTTTCTGGATTTCCTTCCTCTTGTAGAAATGGACCTGCCTCCATAGATATCTGCCACGTTTTGCAGTGTACCCTGTTTGCCATTTAATGGTATCAAATTTAAGGTGCCTGGGGTGGTAAAATTATCTGCTTTATCCAATAACTTTTCACTCACAAGAAACCAAATCCATCAATAACCTGTAGCTGTTCTGAAGTTAATCAGTAAACCCTTTTCACTTACACAAAATATATGACAGTAGTAACTAAAAATCCTGAGCAGCCAAAGAGAAAGCCTAGAGCTTTAAGAACATAGTTGCCTTCTCCCTGTGATTTTGATCCTCTCCTGCTATGTTAGAAAGCCTAAATTGTGATGGGCATGAGTTTTTCTACATCTGGATCACATGCAAACTGTGGTATAGAGTTGGCATTTCTGCCACTGTTGAGCCAGGCCTAAAATAAAAGTGGAATCTTTATACGTTCTTAGATTAAGCTTTTTCCACAATGACGACTTTTTAAAAAATATGCTACAAGTAGAAAATTCAAAAACCTAATAAAATACTTCAATATACATATTAGATCTAACAAGCTGTTTTAAATGCCTAATACATATGCATTCATAGTGTAGAGTCTTGGTTAGTGGGATTTACTCAGTGTCCTAACTGTCACAAAAAGGATTCAACCTTTAACAAAGTCCAATACAAAACAGTACAAGAATCATTTAACTCCAGGTTTCCTGCTTGGATTAAAACCCAAAATTAAATTATTTTGCTCATGATCTACCATAAGCCTCTGCTGAACAGGTTAAAAATATCTTGACTTATTAAGTCCACATACAATAAAGACAGTAAGCATATATGTGATAGTTACATGGACCTTCTGCCTCATAAAATACCAGGACTTCAGCTTTCTCAAGCTTGAGTGTAGAGAACCATCGCTAAGTAAATACTCCAGACAAGTTCTTGATAGAGAGGACTGAATCCAAACAGTCTGGCTAAATACTCTCTCAGATTGAGCAAAAAAATCAGTAACTCAAGGAAACAGCACATTTCTGCACTTCTGTGGTTTAGTGACTGGGAGATCAGAGAACAAATTAAATGAACCATCCTGTGGACAAGAAGTAGCACACATTCACGAGGACTCCGTCAGCCCTGGTTTCAGCTTGAGCATTAAGTCATACCAAATGGAATATTCACATTTTCAGAAAATATTTGTTTTTAAGTTTTTTTATGTATGTTCCTGAGCTTTGCAAAAGCTAACTGACACTATTCAAGTCACCTCATTGTTCTTCATTCTAGCATTGAAGTTAGTTTAGGTATTTTCATCAAACTGATGGAGGTTTATATCACTGCTCTTAAACAAGAAACTGGAAGCACGATCTTTGAGAACTGATTTTCTTTCTGTAGATTGTTAACTTTTACTCATCTGTCTACATCAAAATTCACTCATCTGCCTACACTAAAATTTTCATAGACCAGGACTCGAAGTTTTACAATGCCACAGAGCTAGAGTGACGTAGCAAATCAGGTCAGCAGCTGTCTTAAAGAAGAGATGACAAAGTATCAACTCAACCACGGAGTCAGACTTTAGACTGTCACTTGAAAATTAAAATTCATAGTACCTACATTTAACAGAAGCTGGGTAAATTAGTGTGAGTCATTTGTCTTACAAGCCTTCATATGACAAAGAACC